AATTTGCTTGCTGCCTATTAACCAGGTGTGTCTCTACACAAGTACAGAAGGACAATTCTTGCAAGCCCAAATAGCTCCTTTAATCAGGTGATGTGTACCACAGTGGAACAAATAGGAAGACTTAATATTTACAGAAGGGTGTGCACAGTAATATTATTGGAGCTATGCTGATATTTATTTCAATTAATACATTTCCACTATCACATGTTATGACACAGAAGAAGGCCATTCAGTCTATCGTGTCTACACCAGTTCTCCAAATGAGCTTTATGACTTGGCACCATTCTCCTATCTTTTCCTCATAACTTTAATTATTCATTTAATTATTCATTGAATGCCCTCGAATGCCTCAATTGAACCTGCCTCACCGCTTTTCCAAGAAATGCATTCCAGACCTGAACCACCCATTATGTGAAAAGGTTTTTTCTCGCATCACATTTGTTTATTTTGCATATAAGTATAAATCTGTGCCCTCTTGTTCTTGACCCTTTTACAAGTGAGAACAGTTTCTCCATATCAACTGAATCCAGCTGCCCTTGACTTTGAAAACTTCTATCTCATCTCCTTTGGCCTTTCTCTCCAAGGGGAACAGTACCAACCTCTCCACGCTATCTTCATAACTGAAGTTTCTCAGCCTTGGAACTATTAATGTAAGTGTCTTCTGTACTCGCTACAATGCATTCACATCCTCCATACAGTGTGACAGCCAGGGCTGTACAAAATACTCTAGCTGAGGTCTGATAAGTATGTTATAGAAAATCAACATCCTTTCATCACTTCCATGCTCTTATACTCTATACCTTATTAATAAAGCCCAGAATGCAGATTTACTAAATTCTTTTTCTACCTACCTGCCCTTTCAATGATTTATGCACAGTTATACACCAGTCCCATTTCTCCTACACCTCCTTTAGAATAGTATGCCTTTTTATGTTGCCTGTCCATGTTCTTCCCACCAAAATGCATCACCATACACTTGTCACAACTCACTGCGGTAGCGGACTAGAAATCAAGCCCCACTAACCCCGGAGTAATCACTCGTAAAAATATGCAATAAACCTGTCCAAAAATCCTGAATTTACCTTAGTCATAAACTCCAGTTGAAAGAAAACACTCACCAAGTTTCCGTACTTAACAAGAAAATGCCTTCTTATCAAGAAGGAAAGTTTTTGAACAATGGCAATTAAGAAATTTGAATTGTTAACTTAAAACTCTACAGCGTAACTCTATTCCTGCTAAATCCCTCCATCTCCCCATTCACAAACAGACAAACAAGACAGAGATATTGAGAAGACAAAAAGGAATGAAAAAGGTGCTCAGGAAAACACTATTCGATAACACCAGTCTGGACAGTAATATTTGTTGAATTGCTTTCTTTCTCCTCTTTTCAGTTCCCTTTTAATTCTTTTCTGTTGAGACAAAGTTGTTTGCACACTGATGCTCCCTTTCATTGATTGAGAATTTGTCCTTTCACTGTCTCTGAAGGTGTTTTATTCCTCCTTCAGCAGGGATTTGCAGAGAAAAACGAGTGGAAGACCGTTAGCTATTACAATTACCTCCATACATGAGGGAGAGAGAGAGCTTTTTTCTGTTTTTTTTTCTTTGTGGGCTAGGTGGTTGTCTGCTGCATCAGTCTCATAGAAACCATAGTAATTTTGTCAGGAGCCAATATTGTTGTCAAGCGGTTTTCCTTAGTTTGAAATCCATCAGTGTTGTGGTCTCTGCTTCTGCTCTCTGTTCCAGGAAAAGACAATATTGTATACAACTCACAAGGTACTCCAGTCAGAATGATTTTTAAAACTACAACAATCTCTTTGCACAGTCTCCTCAGCTTAAAGTAGCAATTTCATTGTTCTAGTCCACAATGCAAAGCTAATAGAAATGAAAAGTAGTCTTTACACGCTTCTCTGCATTGAACTTTATCTGCCATCGATATGCCTACTCCACCAACTTGTGTCTATCCTTTTGAAGCTCAAAAACTGACTTCCTCGCAGTTTAAAATGCTTTCAAGTTTGTATCGCACGCAAACTTTGTAATTGTTCCCCACACACCAAGATCTAGGGTATTAATATGTATTAGGAAAAGCAATGATCCCAATACTCAATCCTGGAAAACTCCTAGCTTCCTCCAGCCTGAAAAAGATCTATGGACCATTACTCTACTCTCTGTTTTGATCGTTCAGCCAATTTTGTATCCATGTTGCTCCTATCCCTTTTATGCCATATGCTATAACTTTTCTCAAAACTGTTGTGTGGTACTGTATTGAATACCTTCTGGAAGTGTATTAACACGACAAGAACAGTATTACCCTCATTTGCTTTTTTTGTTAACTCTTGAAAACACTCCAGAAAATTAGTAGGCACGTTTTCTTATTTAGTCATCCATGTTGACTTGTCATAATAAATATTTGTTTCCAGAAGCTTCGCCACCACAAAAGTTAAGCTGAAAGGTCTGCAATTGTTGTGTTTATTCCTTTCAACCTCTTTTTGATCAAGGGTGCAATGTTTCCAATTTTCCAGTCTCTGACTCCTGACTCTGGGGAAGATTGAAACATGATGACCAGTGCCTCTGCAATTACACTGTCACTGCCTTCAAACAACTGACAAATGAGGACATCATAGACTGGTAAACCACCTCACTTGAAGAATCCAAAGTCACATGACATCAGATTATAGCCTAACAGATTTATTTGAAGTCACAAGCTTTTGGAGTGCTGCCCCTTCGTCAGGTGAAGTGCAGAGAAGGACAGAGGCACAGAATTTATTGCAGAGAGATCAAAAGAGCAGGCGAGTAGTGAGTGGGGTGTTGACAGGTTGAATAATAAGTCTGTGCAGGTGCTACAAAGTATCAACAGCTGAATAGTAAGTGAAGAGAATGACCGATAATCCAATTTATTGAGACCGAGAGATAATTACAAAAAATTAGAAAAAAGGAGATAAACCAAATGGTTGGAATAACATGATAGGTATAAGAATTGCATAAATTAATTGGATTATAGGTCATTCCCTTCACTTGCTATTCAGCTGTTGACACTTTACTCACACAGTCTGACACGTTTGATCACATGCAAAAACTTTGTTCAACTTGTTGACACTCCACTCAAACCAATTGTATGATCTTTTGATCTCTCTAACATAAATTCTGTGCCTACGTGCCTCTCTGCACTTCACCTGATGAAGGGGCAGCACTCAAAAGCTTGTGATTTCAAATAAACCTATTAGACGATAACCTGGTGTCATGTGACTCCTGACCTTGTCCAATCCAGTGCAACACCGGCACCTTCACATCTTGAAGAATCCAGAAGGGGAACTTCAGAGCCAGACTAGAATGTTGTACCACATAAGGGTCAGTAGGAGTGGATGCCGGGGATATGCAGTTGCCCTTAATAATGAGGTTCTTCACATAACAAATTGATCACCAATGACACCAGAATTTCTGAAGTGACGTCTTAGATCCATCAGCCCCACTTAGCAGTACATTGCCAATATCTAAGGGCCCATATCAATATATTTCTTATTAAGGTTCATTGGAAACAAACATGTGGGCTCCTCACAAAATTGACATTGTAATAATAGGTGATAATCATTTAATAAAGCACAAACACCTTAACTTGTTGAAACAGCACCCATGATGACTCACATCTGTTTATAATGGCTTCCATTGTCTTGATATTCAGCAACCCTTACCCGCTTGACAGCAGATATCAAGGTGTAGAGCTGGATGAACACAGCAGGAAAGCTGATGTTTCGGGCCTGGACCCTTCCTCAGAAATGGGCCATTTCTGAAGAAGGGTCCAGGCCCGAAACGTCAGCTTTCCTGCTCCTCTGATGCTGCTTGGCCTGCTGTGTTCATCCAGCTCTACACCTTGTTATTGCAGATTCTCCAGCATCTGCAGTTCCTACTATCTCTCCCACTTGACAGCAAATATCCACTGATGAACACCCACTGTTGTCACCGTTGTATAACCAGCCTCTTCTTTTTTAAATCAACCTATATGGGCATGTTATGACATATATCCATGGCTATCAGATCCTGAGGTGGGACTTCAGCTTAGAAGTTCTAGCCCAGAGGCAAGGACACTAAAATTGCATCACAAAGCCCTGAAACCTCTTTTGTTTATTTGCAGCAAGTCTTACCAAATGACTGTTAATTGGCCGGCTGGCAGTTAATTGTGACAGGGTCATTTAATGGAGCTGGAAATGGCATATAACATGTTTCTGAGTGCTGCCATCACCCCTCTGCCCTTTATGAAATCTGGACAATTATATATATCTTCCACCCATCTAAATGCAGCACTAGATTGCAAAGAATTATACTGTTACCCTCCTCAGGAGCTGATCTACATAGTAGAGTTGTCATGTCAGTCTCAGTTCTGGAGGAATGGAAGGGTTCCCGTAATATGCAATTGTATTTGTGAAATCTCAGTATTCAAGGAAGTAAAGAGATAACATCTTCCACGTATACTCAAGGTTATTGTGTAAAGCCAAAGATATGCAGAAGTATTCTAATTGTTTTTTAAAAGCAACTGCATTTTTAGAATGCCATTGATTTTTGAGTACAGCATTAACTTAAACTGAACAAAATGTTCTAAATTATTTAAGTTTTTTTTATTGTTTGGCGAATTAAGTGTGTTAAGTGTGTAAGATATATTGCACAAAGCAAATCTTGCTGTAGATACATAGTTGTTCTTGTAGTCAAAACACTTCATTGGTTTATTCAAATTAAAATAACTGAGATGCATTACAGTGGAAGTAAATGCTAATTGTACATATAAGCGCATTTCTATTTGGATAGGGATGGCATACATCCACACACACGAGCTTTCAATTGCAGATGTTAGAGTTCAGCATACCATGGGAATGTATACAGAAATCCTTTGACCAGTACTATAATGTTTATGTGTGATGACAGGTTACGTGTAATGATATATTTCTCAATTCAAATAAATTACAATTGTTGTTACTGCAATAACACATTTCTCTTTTTTCTTCTCCGTGCAGGAACGGGTGGAATATCTCTTTCTCATCATTTTCACAGTGGAAGCATTTTTGAAAGTAATAGCTTATGGGCTTCTGTTTCACCCCAATGCGTACCTCAGGAATGGCTGGAATTTACTAGATTTCATTATCGTGGTTGTAGGGTGAGTACAGTTTTATTTTTGCCATCAAGTTTTTTCATCAAATTTATTTTTGCCATTTAGGGGAGGTGGTGGCCTAGCGGTATTATCACTGGACTGTTAATCTAGACACCCACGTAATATTCTGGGCACCAGAGTTTGAATCCCACTTTGGTAGATACTGGAATGTAATGCAATAAAAATCTGGAATTAAGAGTCTAATGAATACCATGAATCCATTGTTGATTGTCGAAAAACCCGTCTGGTTCACTAATGTCGTTTAGGGAAGGAAACTGCCATCCTTACCTACATGTGACTCCAGCCCCACAGCAATGTGGTTGACTCCTATTGGTCATGGGGGCAAAAATGCTCACCTAGCTGGTGACACCCTCATCCCATGAATGAATTTTTTTGTTCTGAATTAGGCAGAATTTTGCAGTGGGGTTGAGTTGTAATTTTTTTTAAAAAACCAACTTGTTTGGACACACTTCTGAATGCCGTCACAGCCTGAGCTAGGACTCGAACCTTATGACCCAGAGGTACACTTCTACTGCACCTCTAGACACTCTACAGGTTGAATTATATGCAGGCTTCAAATGAGGGATGCCTGACTGGCTCACCAGCACAATCTGCCTGGAAGTGGCCAGTTAACTGGCCGTCACCAGGATCCTGGTGGATTCCAGTTAGGAATAGCAGGTAAACTGCACAAAAGGGTGTTGGGGCGGTGGGAGATGGGAGGCCGCATCTTGAATACTCCAGATTGTTGTCAGCTGCTGGGAGGGTAGATGCTGTCAAAATGGGTTGATGTCTTTAAGGGCACCTAAAAATGTAAGTACCCTCTAAAGATTTCCAATTCTTTAAAAAAAAACAAGTGAGACCAGAATACCTATCATGGAATCCCACCACAGGGTGGCCAAATGATCATTGTGGCTCCGAAATTGGGTGTTGGTAGTTAAAGGATAAGTCATTTGGCTCTGGAGATCAGAAAATATCCCTTAATTGGTCTTATGCATTTGAGCAGGCTGACCTACCCAACTCTGGGAAGCCCTCCAGAGATGCAAATGCATCAGGGACATTGAGACCACAGGGTCCTCTCCTATCAGAGGCTGAACAGGTGCCTGGTCTCCGTCACTCCTCTGAATGCCACTGGCCTGAGGTGTTTCTTCCTCACCCATCTGCACAACAGTTGCTGTAAGTTCCTCAGCAATTTCTGGTTCCACACGCAATTCATATATCAATCCCATTGACGTTTTAGTATCAAAGCTGAAGGGGAGGTCCAGGGGACAGTGTTGTTGATGCTTCCTCTGGGTCCTGGACATGGTTGTCCATCAGGGGAGATGGCTGACTCTCTACTAATTGAGTCAGGACACTGGTTGTACCTATAAGACACAAGAGGCAGAAAGCATCATGGCGTTTGGTTACAAATGGTGCTCGATGCATGACATTGACTACCTGGTTACTATCAGTATTTCAGTGCAATGACAAGTAGTGCTCGCTCGGTGGTCAGCACATGGATGCCTCTGCATCTCCTTAGGAGCGGTCCCATTCCACTCCAGTGACAGCAAGAATCCTCTCCTCGTTTGGGGTAAAGACACAAGATATCAGGCACCTACCCCACCTGTACAATGTCGCCCCACCCTGCTATGGGCTGGCTCCTCGTTTGTAAAGGGGACAATTGAGTAATATGCAAGTGGATTGCATGATAGTTAGTGGTGACGCATAATGGGGGAAATGTCTTGAGGTGTTCCGAGGGAATGAGCACAGTGCGAAGGGGATGCAGGATTGGTGGTGTGGTAGCATGGGGGATAACCAGAGTGAGTGAATTTGTTGCATGCAACAGAATGGGTGTAAGACCATTACCCTTGGTGGGATATGGGGGCATTGGCAGAGACAGAGTGAGTGTGAGGTAGCAGAGAGCAGAGGATGGCAGTTACACTGATGGAGTGAAGAAAGTTCTTCATGCAGCAATGCAGCTCAGTCTTCCTCACCTTCAAGACAGCACTGACTCGGGGAGCAATCTCTTTCCAGGTTGGCATGGTGTTGTGCTGCCACACTGCTGACGAGGGCCTCCAGGTTCTTGTTAAAGAACTGCAGCACCAGCTTCTCAGTCATAACTCCTCAGTCCTCAAAAATGTGCAGGGCAGCTGCCAGATGCCAACTTTCCTTTTCTTGTGCAGCAGACTTTTGAAATATGTCATAGGCGCAAGGAATTTTGGTCTTGGGATTGATATCTGGTGAGTGGTGCATTGTTTGGGGAACAGCACATGGTAAGGTGGGATGGAAATCAGATGTGATACTCACTGTTAGGCAACAATAGCAGTTAATGTTGCAAATTTGGTAAGATATGTTGTGATATCTTGCTTAGCCTCGTGGCAAGAATCACTTCCCCAAACCTGAAGCAACTTGAACTTGGCCAAAAAACTGTGAAAATTTGGCTCTAGGTCTAATATGGGTTACGGGCACAGGTGAATAAACTGTAGGCAGAAAGACATGCTTTTATAGAGGGCTTTTCACAACTAAACATCATCTCAGTGTTTTACAGGCAATGCAATCATTTTGAAGAGTAATCACTTTTGATGTAGGAAAATTGGCAACCAATTTGAGCAAAGCGACTTCCCATAAACAGTAATATGAAGGTGGCCAGATATGCTCTTTTGTAATATTGAGGTATAAAAACAGCACTAACTCCCATGGGATCTTCTTTATCCAACTCAGAGACCAGATGAGGTCTTGAATTAATGTCTCATCCAAAAGTCACCATCTCCACATTGCAGCACTCCCTCACTACTGGATTGTTAGCTGCAGAATGTGATGTAGTTGCTCCGGGAAATATTTGACCGTAGTCTCAGGAGACAACATGCCATACTGGAGTCTCATTTGTAGCCATTGAAACATCTTAACTGCCTCCCTTAAGATTGAACCCTGTATTGCTACAACCCTTCCTACACTTAATTCCTTCTCTCCCATACAACAGAGCAAACCATGGTGAAATGAATTTGGGTGCTGCTACTTTCCTCTCAGAGACCATTCCTCCCAAACCGTTAGACCTGTTTTGCATGAGATTAGCTACAGGCGTTTTTTTTTCTCTGCCATGTCCTCTTACTCTGCCTGGTGATCATCCATTCTCTCTCTGCCTGTAGAGTCTTAACCTGCAGAGTGACCACCTCTTTGTACATACTATCCACAATACTGTGAGCCTCGTAGTATCCCCAGCTCTAAAACTCAGGCTTCCAGGAGCTGTAGCTGGAGACACTTCGTGCAGACATCCTGGTTCCAGGTACTGGAACTATGTTGGACTTCCCACATAGAGCAGGAGGAGCATACCACAGCCCAGAGCTCTCCTTCCATGACTTATCTTTTTAAATTAAACCCTTTGATTGCCCTTAAAATCAAATAATGTTAATTACTCTAGGGCCCTTTTTCTCTGTACCTCTGCACTGTCACCCTTACAAACTATACATTAAAAATAAAGACCTTTCAAACCATAAGCAATAAAAATAGTATAAATATTCTGCTGACCTTGCTTACCCAATCAGTTGCTTCCAGGTTTCCTTTCTGTCCCTGGTCTCTGGCACTTTCTGATAAACAAGCGTCTGCGTCAAGTCTAATCTGATGTCTGGTTTGACCTTTCTCCCTTCAAATTCTCCCTATCCCAATACCAGTCAATGAACCTATAGATTTTCTGTGATGTCACTCTTCTCTTTTATTGCAAAAGTATATTTTATTCATAAATTATCTATGAATTAATCCAAAAGATCCAAAGCATTTCAGTCCAGACTTTGCAGAAAATACAATGGAATTTGATATTCCTCATTATTTTTACAACAAGAACTAACTGCAGGGTTCATAGTCTGTTTCACTGCGAGGGTGACTGCAGCCACACTTCCCAGTCTGAGGTTGCATTGAAATAATTCTCTTATAATGCCCAGTTGCTTCAGCCTGCTAAAAATGTTTATTTTCTGTGCTGACTCTGGTTGAAGGAGCTACTACAGAATTTATATCTCTATTGCAGTGCTTTGAAACTCTTCTCACGTGCTTGAGTGCACAGGATCTATCCATGTTGTAGGTAGGAGTTTACCGTGATAATATAAATTAAGGGCCAGTTGAAAGCTAGTTCAGAAATGGGCATGCATGAGTAGTTAGGCAGATGTTCAATTACATTCCATTCTCAGTCCTGTAGAGGCATCAATGGAAATTTTACCCTTGCCTCTTTTGTTGATAAGAAACATATATTGCTACCAAACTACAGCAAACAAATGAAGTCTGTACCTTGGTAATGAGAAACAGCTGTTTCTACAGACAAGCACACATACTTCACAAATGAGGCCCCTATTTAATCATGACTAAACAGCTGGTTTCTGTCAAATTTCAAAAACAGCATCGCACTGCACTAATGAAATATATCAAACTTCTATTTGGGAAAAAATGTCCTCCTAGTACTGGTAAAAAGGAACTGAAATAACATACTCCTGTTCTTGGAGCATCCCAGGAAACATTTCACCTATTTTTGGATTGCCCATTGATTGATTGTGGAAGGAAGCCATTTGGCTCATCAAGTCTATGTCAGCTCTCTGTGGAGCAATTCAATTAGTCCCATACACCCACTCTATCACTGTAGGTTTATTTAGAGCCATAGAGTCATAAAGGTGTACAGCACAGAAACAGATCCTTGGGTCCAACTTGTCACTGCCGACCAGATATCCTACATTAATCTAGTCTCTTTTGCCAGCGTTTGGCCCATTCCCTGTAAACCCTTCCTATTCATAAACCCATCCAGATGCTTTTTAAATGTTGTAATTGTACCAGCCTCCACCACTTCCTCTGGCAGTTCATTCCATATATACACCACCCTCTGCTTGAAAAAGTTGCCCATTAGGTCACTTTTATATCTTTCCCCTGTCACCCTAAACCTATGCCCTCTCGACTCCCCTACCCTGGTGAAAAGACCTTGACTATTCACCCTATCTATGCCCCTTTTATAAACTTCCATAAGGTCACCCCTCAGCCTCTGATGATCCAGGGAA